TGCTCCATTTTCTGGGAGTGCTTCTTTCTTTCAGTAATTCGTCCCAATACTCCCGCCGAAGAACGAAAAACACGCGAAGCATGGAAGTAGATATGGGAAACGTAAACAGACGGCTTCTTTCGCTTGGCATGAAGCTGCCTTCATCGCGATGACTCATGAAGCCAAGCGATAAGTTCCACGATGAACTAAGAGCCGATGAACTCAGAGACGATGAGCTCAGAGACAAAGAATGGGAGAAGCGAATGAGTCACGTTGGAATCCGGTCCCGCTCTCCCGAGCCGATCGCAACCGGCTTTTAACCGACTGTAACCGTCCTCTGACCGCAATGTCGCCTCCAAACCTCCTTTTAAATATTTCCACTCGGTCGTGATGCCTTGTGCATGCAGATTTTCACTGCAGGGGAGGGTCGTCTTTGACGCATGACGCAAGGCTACTCGAGAAATAACGGCGGAGATGCACTCACTTGGTTCGCATGGTCAGATGCAAGAATAAAATGTGGATCACGTCTCGCGTCTTCGCCGATTCCCCTGATTACCCTATTTCCTACCCAAAAAGAAGAAATAGAAGCCGTCCGCTCTGACGTCTTCCTCGAATGGACGAATGAATCATCCCCACTATTAATGACTTATTAATAAATTACCCGAAATTTGCTAGAACTCTTAAAAATTATCAGAGAAAAAATTCTTGCTAGACCCTCAAAGTTCGTCAGCATTACGAGAAAGTCATTCAGTACCAACGAGAGCAAATAGGGAGAACGGGAGGAGGAGGAGGAGGAAGAGGATACTCGGGGAGGAGCTGAGGGTCCTCCTCCCATTCGCTATCCACATTCCCGATCCGCAGGCGGCCATATCATGGAGCCTCCAACCCCCCCCCCCCTCTCTCGATAACGAACGGTACATTTTACACTCCAAGAACCGATGTTTGAGCGGTACATGCCGCATCCTCGCTGTCATCACCTTCATGCAACAGGGTTCATTGATGGCGTGTGGCGCTGAGGATGAGAATCGTTCCACGAATCTGAGCATTCATGAGCAGCCTCACTCCTTTTCGGCATGCTGCAGTCTTTCAGGGGAATGCACACGATACAAGGACCCCTGTTGTCCTGGCAGATTCCGCTCGTTTTCATTTATTTCGTTCACCGTGATTTTCGATGCTCGAAGCGCTTTACCTTCTCAGGCTCCACCTCCTCGACCGAGATATAAGATGATATGAATATATAACTAATTTTTAATATATAGCTACCACGACCTCCGACTTTGTCGACTTGAAATTCATGCCACGACTGTTTTGTGCCCCATTCTATGTCCAGGATTCCTTGGAGGCCTACTATACATCCGGCAGCCAGCCCACATCGCCGTCGCATCTGCGGGACAATTCATTCAGATGAGATAAACTAGCAAAGACCCCCTCCTCGATTGTGCACTAGACCCAAGGAAGATGGGGGCGGATGAAATAGAACAGCTGAAGGAAGGAAAAGTTCCGATCAAAGGAACGGATCCGCCGACTTACCTCTTGTCGTTTCGGCAAATCGCAAAAGATCGATTCCAATTGGGTCAACAACATGGAAAATGTTTGATTGTCCTCCTCCTCGGCTTGACTGGATCAGGTCACTACTCGTGTCATCCGGTGGTTCTCCGCGATGTGTGGCGTGTCTAGATCATACATGCGTTCTTTCTTGCAGGGAAATCCATGTTGGAGGAGGTGATGGGGAACTACTTGCTAGGAGTGGATTTTCGGGATTCCCATCGGTTTCGGGTGAAGGAGGATAACGGACCCACGAACCAGATCACCTCGTACACCTTTTACACCAGGGACAGGAAAATGTCCCGCCGTCCCGTCACCATCATCGACACGCCCGGCTTTCAAAAGGGGACACCCGCGGATGACAAGAAATTGATCGAAGACATTCGCGCTTTCACCCAAGCCATCGACATCCACGCCGTCGTCTTCGTCGTCCCGGGCTCTCAGGTTCCGCTTTTTCCTCACAGTGGAAACCAATCCATTCTCAACCATTATGACTAGGTGATGCACGGAAGGAAAGTATTCGAGGGAAGAGTGGGACGACCCCTGTGAGAAGTCACCCTATCCGTGCAAATGATTAGATTCACTGTTAATTATCCTCTGAATCCCACGCTATCTACAGGGTGACCGGAAAGTTCGGAGGCACTCAAAAATACCAATATCCCGATGCCATAAAGAACAATAAATGTTTTTTTTAAATATTATTTAACACGTTGACGACCAGCCTATTTTTGCTTGTCCGCCGCGTGGGACCACGCGCATTTTTTTTGTCAAAAAATGCGTCCTGCCATCAGGACGCATGGTCCTAGAAAACATTTTTTTTTGCCGAGTTTTTTTTAAATGTTGAATTTTTTGGAATTTTTATCAGTAATTACGAAATCATAATCTTCTGGAACGTTCTCAACAGTTCCAGAGGGCATTCATTGAAAAAAAATCTGCATCCTGGCATCAGGACGCATTGTCGCCAACGTGTTAATAAGAAAGAACATAAGGAAACCTTCAAAATGAGTTAAACATCTTCGAAATAGCCCCCATTGGCAGCAATAACTTTTCTGAGGCGTTTTGGAAAATTGTCCACAGTTTCTCGCAGCTGTTTCACAGGGATTTCGTCCCATGCTTTCAACAAAGTTGACTTGAGGCTGTCCAAATTTTTCGGCTGAGTAGCACAGACCTTTGCCTCCAAAAAGGACCAGATACTATAGTCCATCGGATTTAAATCAGGGGAGCAGGAGGGCCAAGCTTCTGGACCGACAAAATCTGGCAACTCCTGCACGCACCACTCTTTTGTCGACCGGCTGGTGTGAGCTGGGGCATTGTCTTGTTGAAATGTCCAGGAAGAATCCCCAAAATGATCCCTTGCCCAAGGATAGAGAACCTTCTTCAGAACTTCATTTTGCTAGTAATTGGCATCGATTTTGATGTTAGGAGCCACAAAATGCAAGGGTGTTTTACCGTCGGCCATGATGCCACCCCAGACCATGACAGACTGGGGTTTTTGCATTCTTTGCACAAACCGAGATTCTGACAAGACTCTGGACCCTTTTTTGGCCCAGACATGATCATTTTGGGGATTAAACGCTTGCTGTGCTGTAAAAACTTTTTCATCTGCGAACACGATCCGACGGTGTGAGTTTCGCTTGAATCTTGCCAGTAGTTTCCTTGATTTTTGCTTCCGCAATTCCTTGTTCTTCTTCGTAAGCACCTGAACGACTCTTTTTTTGAAAGGGAAAATGCCCAACTTCTTTCTAAGATAGGAGCCCAGAGTTTCGTGCTTGATCTTCAAGTGCTTTGCAAGACTTCGGCACTTCTGTTCCGGGTTTCGATCGAGAGGCTGTTTGACACGCTTTCGAAGAGCAGGATCCTTGAAGACATTGGGACGGCCACTTCTGGGTCGATCCTGAGTTGTACCAAATTCCTTGTAGTGGGCAATGGCTTTGTACACAGTGGATCGTGGCGGTTTCAGCTCCTTGATGATCTTTGCAGGTGAATGACCTTGTTGAAACAAGTAAATCACAGCTTCTCGGCTGGGTTTCGATGCCATATCTGCACCGGGACGAGTCATATTTGCGATGCAAAAAGATTAAGCCTAGAGCTAGACTCGTGGAAGAAATGAAGCCTCACACTTGAAAAAAATCTAATAAAGTTTACAAGTCTCCGAACTTTCCGATCACCCTGTATTTATTATCCTTTTTGGATTGGATGAATCGTAAGAGTGAAAACAATACCTTAATAACACTTTCTTTTTAGAAGTCTATGGGTGGAAGATTCCAAATCAATTTAGATGAAATGGAGCACAAAACAAAATTAGGGAATTCTCTCCCAGCCCATCAGCAAGACAGGAGGGCAAGGGAAAACCCTTAATTTTCAGCTTTAAATTCCAACCTGTTCTGAAAGCGTTCAACCTCTTAGGAAAAATTTTTTTTAATCGTACCTCCATTATGCAAATTCCACTTAGACGACACAGGGCTGCCTGTAACAAACACTTGCATTAGCTGCGTTGATTCCGGATTTTTAGTCCAAAATGTATATTTCATCAGAAAATATTTCCTTTTTTATCAAGAACGACACGTTCTTGACACGTGGGAATGTTTTTTTTTTTTCATAAAACTGTTTTCATAAAATTGTTTTTTTTTTTCATATTGATCTTGCCCTCCCGAACAGGGGAGATTGACGGCGGAGCAGAAGGAGGTGCTAACGAACATGGCCAAAGTCTTGGGAGATGAGACTCCAAGAATCCAGGAAATTTCCTATCTGTTTTGCACATTTGCTGACAGCAAACGTCTCCCCGTCCTCGAATCCGTGAAAGAGGCGGGATTGAAATACAAGAAGTATTACGCCGTGAACAGCTCCTCCTATTTCGCGAAGGAAGAAGAAAACGATGGATCTTCCTCCTCCGACGAGGAGGAGGAGGTGAAGCAGAATAAACCGAAGATGACGTCCATCAACGAGTTGCTATGGAAAATGACGAACGAGAGCATTCAAGAATTCATGGAGGACATTCTGGATCGCAAAGGGAAGTAAGTAACGGAAGTCAATTGAATATTTGCATATTGCGTTTAAAAGACTCCCTAAAGCAGAATGTTCAAAAAGTTTCCCCACTCCTTAAGAACATTTCCCCTACTGCCGTATTCGAGGCAAGTTAGTGAGACGCGGCATATTTAGCGCGAAGTCACCAAAAAATTCCAAATCGGAAAATCTCGTTGCGCAAAGTACTCAAGACACACAAAAAAATAACCGAAACCAGCGGCGGCAAGAATTAGCAACAGACCCCATTCGAAGGCATTTCTCCTCCGAGCGCGATTCGGAACCTCGAAGTGATTCCAAGATTTTCCCCGCCTTAAATGAGCCTTGAAACGATCAGCATCCGCTGAACCATTTTCTTTCTCTTTCCACGTTCGCATGAAAATGACCGTAAAACCTATTGCTTACATGAATTGGCATCGTTGAGGTTCGAATTTTTATTTGAAAACCTTCGCATTATCCCTGAATGAATCCCCACGTTTCCTTCACACTTCTAAATTACAATTTTTTGTTGTTGAGATTGCAGTGTAACTTTTTGGACATCGTATATATAAGCCATAGCTATTTATGAGCCAATTGTGTTTTATTGAAGAGGTTTAATTAGAAGAACTGTTTATTTATGCACGACAGAGCAAGGATGTCGAAATGCGAAGTAACTCCATGTACAGTACATACGATCGCGACACTTTAATTTGCAAATTTTTTCTTGATACACGATATTAAGATGGCCGATTTCGAGGGATTCCAGGAATAAAAATTCCCGGAATCCCTCGAAATCGATCGATAAATCGCGCGGTTTTCTGATGCGCCTTCACCCACCTCAAAATTCCCCCAACTGGTCCTCTGCGTCAAAACCAGAAACCGAGGGTGGGGGGGGGGGGGGGGGGGCCCCCCCCCCC